TAGATGGTGTATAAAATTTCATTGAAAAATATTGAGGTTTCGTTGGTCAAATGGATTAATTTCGTGAAGCTAGTAAACCTGGAAACAGTTCCCGTAATGCTCAGACCAGCTTTCTTGTTTCATCCATAACTCTGTGGTCCGACGTCGAAATTGAGTTCCGTCAGTGGAAATTGAAACTAGACATTCCCACATTTCCAACGGTATAAAATACATGTTCTGATTGCATGTATGTGAGCCGAACCAACCATTTAAAGTCTGATGTTCTGTTTCTCTGTTTTCCTGGAACGAAATGCTGAGACTGCAACTTGCGGCTCGAATTCGAGCTAGTTGTGTGCCAAATTTCAAAATGATTTCTTCTGTGAAATTATATCTCTATGAATGTATTTTCCAAATCCATAAACCATGCTCAATTCCGAGTTAATTTGAGTGATTTGTGATCAAAATATTGAACCTGCCCTGCTCTTGAAAACCCTTACTTTTGGACAGAATTGATGCAAGGCTTGGTGTAGACTTGCTAATTGAATTTCTTGGTGTTAATCACCCACAAATGTTGTTTTGGGATGGCCTTATACCTTTTCTATGTAAATCGACCATGGTTGAGGTACCCTCTAGGTTAAACGTTTTGAAAACGGCAAAACGGAACTTACAAGGCAAATTGCCTTGGAAACTTTGAAACTTTGGTGATTTAGTTCACCAACTTCCCGTGCATATTTATTCATGAAATTTGGTAGAGGAGTAACCCTCATATGGTAATATGTCCATGCCAAATTTGGTGCTATTCCAAAGCCGTTTCGATGTTCAATCAAACTTCCAAAGTTCATGATTTAAGCTGAAAAACCCTTGTTTATCAAGGAAATTTTGGTAAATTTGGGTCACCATATCTCGGTGCTCGAAACTCTGTTTCTTGTTCTGCTTGTTTTGTTGTAAACTTGGATTACAACACTATTAGAGTTGCAAATTTCAAAGACTAGTTTCACTCAAGTGAATTTTTCCGAATTTTCAAATTTGGCCAAAAACCAACTTAAATATGCCTTATGAACCAAAACAGCAACTTTGAGCTCATTTTTGAATGTTTTCCATTTGGAATCTTAGAAAAGTGTATTCTAAGAACTTTTAGTACTTTCAAATAGGTTTCCAACGGCACCCAGTTTTCTAATTTCTGACATGTAGAATGGGAGATACGATTTTTCAAAGTATCGAATCAAACCTGAATTTTTTTCCCAAATTCCAAGCGAAGGGAGTTTTCAAGTACTCCTTATTCCTTCAATATTTCTTGAATGTTTTATACTTTATTTCCCAAAATGAAAACTCGATTACCGTGTACTTTGAGAAACTCCATTTAAACCTCAATTTACGAGTAATTGAGGTTCGTTTTCATGAAATTTCCTTAGATTGTACTAGTGTACAATCTTCCTTGATAATTGGGATATATGAGTGATACTTCACTATTATGTGCTCAGGCGCACATGAGGACCCTCAAGAGGATCCCACGGTGAACGCTTAAATTTCGGTTGAGACTACTTCTACTTGGTGAGTGTCAAGTGTATGGCTACTTGAACTCTATGGACTTGATTCATGCTTGGTTTACCTGATTACATGCTTAGCCTACTTGGTTTTGAAAAATGGAGTCGAGTGTGTACTTTATCGCACTCATTCTCATTTGAAACAAATGACTCATGCTTAACATGTTTTGCCTGGTTTACATGACCTGAAATACATGCTTAAACCTGTCAAATGCTTGAATACATGACATGGTATGCTATGGCTGCATACGTCGTTGGAGTGAATCTCCTCGACACTTACATGATACATGGGGGACGCCCAAACTCATAGGCCGACCTTGGGAAGCGAGCCGACATGGGCTTGGTCGGGAACCTTGGAGAGCCATGAGAATCACATGATAAGCTTGATCTATTTGAGAGATCTTGCTTGGCATACTCGTGGAGTATAGCCTTATAAATGTCGTGCGGGCCCGAAGCGGTGTAGGGTGGACGGACGAAAAGTAAGTGGTGATCTACGGTTTGGAAATATCAACCCGGTTGACGGAGAGTCATCGCGGGAAGATATACGAATGAACTGGCAAAACAAGTGGAACTTAGCTCCTGAGAGCTACCATATCCTTGAATTGTTTCTGTTTACATTTCGTTGGCTTTATGAATTACTTGTAATTTATCACTTGAACTATTATTTGGGCTTGTTACCTGAACAACGTGCTTGCATGTGTGTTCTTGGCCTCACGAGCGTTTGCTCACCCTGTAGATTTGTTTTCCTTAACAGGATTGGACTTGGAGAAATGTTGGAGAAACCCCTCTTGGCGTACTCTTGTTTTTGGGTTTCCCTTGCACTTTGGGGCTAGACTTGTGATTGATGTATATTTTGACTATTGATGTATTTCGAGCACAAGATTCAATCTTAATTTTTTTCTTTTTCCTCCCTTTTCTTGGTCAATAATTTTGGCCCTATGGAGGAGATATTTAGAACCAATTTTGCTAAAATAAAAGTGAGAAGATTAAGGTAATAATGTGGTGTTCAAGTGGTTCACTCAATCGGTAGCGAACGGTACCTGTCGGTCCAACCCGTTTTTCCTTATTTCGCACGTACTAGAGTTTTAACTTATAATTCACTAACTTATTATTATCACTTCTAATCACACACTTAATATCATCTAAAACTCACTCTTAATCACCAAATTTGATCCACACTCCGTACCGGATAGTCATACCACGGATAGGCGTAAAAACCCTAATTCACACTAACTTGAGAACGCAAAGGAAAAACCCTTAATTCTATACTCATTTGCACTTATTGTGGAGTGATTGGGTAGTAAGGCTATTATAAAGTAATAATTTAGGGTTTCTAGTCTTTAAACAAAACAACTGTAAGGGTTTAAATCAAAACCAAAAAATACAACAATCTCCTAACATTCGGTGTATCACAGGTTGGGATTGTTTTTCTTGTTAAAATGGCATGTTGTGGTTTCATCCCTTCCATTTGTTGTGCAACGAGATATGAATGCTGAATAGCATAGCTATAAGTTGCGGAAAACTTGCGGATGTGGAGTTGCAGAAGCTTTCCTTTCGGTTGAAGGAAGAAGAAAACTGTCTTCGAAGCTTGCCTGAAATATTTTTCAACAATTGCACTTTTGCCCCAAATTTCTCCATAATGTTACTATGGCCCAAAAAAATGGAAAAATAATCAATTTTACCCTTTGGAAAGTCAAACATTCTTTTTATGTTTTAACCATGCTTTAGGCAAATCTTTTTCCTGATTTTATGAGACAATTAGAGCTTAATTAGTTTTTTAGAGCTTTTATTTTGCTTTGATTTAACCCCACAACTTCTTCCATATCTCAATTAGGTCCCTACTTGTTCTTAAATTCTCGAATAGAGGTTGTTTACTTTCATTTAAATGCCTTGATTGATTATTTCCATTTCTTTACATGTTATTGCTTTTATTTGTTAAATAAAGTGGTGTCTTGACCATTTTCTTTGTTTTGAAGGGTAAATAAGAGAAATTGATTTCATTAGGTCACCAATTCAAGTGAGGTATACTCTATCCCTTTATTTTGATTTTACTTGATCCTATGTGAATTTATGTGTGTAATTGCATGCTTTTTGAAAATTTTTTTGTTTTATTTTATGTTATTTATTTATTCACTTTATTTGTTTTTAGTTTTGTATATTTATTTTAATTTAATTTTCAATTATTTGAGAGACATTTAAATGCCAAATTGTGATAGTTAGGGGGTTCAAGATATGTATTTAGATAGAATATGTAATAGCTAGGTGGTTATTTTATTATTCTTTCCCCCCTTAGATTGTAGTTAGGGCTCCCAAATGTAATAGTTAGATCTCTATTTGCTCTTTTTTGCTTTTGTGTGTGCTTGCATGCTTGCATGTTTATGTGTTTACCCGTTTTCTTAGGGCCTTTGCATCTAGATATAATGCTTACGCGATATGTGTTTATGTGATATTATGTGTTTACTTGCTTTTATTATGTTTTATATGATTTATTTAGTTATAATAAATACATGGCGTCGCCACACTAGTCCAACGCTAGTTGTGGTCTATTTTCTCGATTTTTCGCTAATCCAATGCTAGTGAGAACTTGTAGACATGGGCTAGTCCAACACTAGACCCATAGGGACCGTCCACGCGTTAGATCATGTTTGTGTGACAAATCACTACATTTCATGCATATTTTCTATTTTTTTAGAATCTTTACCATTTTTTGCATGATATTTCCTCTATATGTATATCCCTTATTGTGAGGACCCATAATTTTATTATTTCAAAATATTGTTAAATTGGTCATTTTAAAAATATTTCGTACTCGAGTTACCCAGAAATAAAATAAAATAAAATAAAATAAAATATACTAAAGTACATGAATTTCTCGAAAATAAATTTTTTCGATTTGTTCTTTACGCGCATATTATTTTAATGCCCAAATTTATTCAAGATGAATTGCTTATCGTGATTTTTATTGTTATATATATATACTTGGATTATCATATTTTAGAGTTTTAGAATCGAATAAGTTGAATTTCCAAGTTCAAACGAGAAAACCCTTAAGTTTGACCTTTATACGCGCGCGTGCCGAAAAGGCCCCGACAGGCACATTAATTTGATTAATTGGAGATTTTAAGAACATGATATTAGACTACTAGTAATGTACTATTGATGTACTAGGGAAATTACCTCAGAGGTTTAGTGCACAAAAGTTGCAAACGAGCGCGAAAATTGGACACACAAAGACCCTAAACGGACCTAGCATGAGTTGACACTTAGACTTAACCATTAAGTCACCAATTCTCTCCACTTTCATTACAATACCTGATTTCACTCTCTCTCCTCTCGTCACTCTCTAGTTGGCCGAAGATGGGAAGAAAAAAATCTAGCCAAAATCCTCACAAACTTGCTTCAATCCATTTCCAAATTTCATCGTCCATTAGAGGGCTTTGATCCTAGCTTGGAAGAGGGGGCTGTTCATCAGTTTTCTTGGAGGAATTTCGGTCAAGATTTCTGCCCTAAAGCTGTCCAACTAAGTTCTTGAGGTAACTCACTCACCCACACTTCAATCTTGCAAAATTATAGCTCAAATGGAGCAAAGGTAGCATGGGTTTGCAACCTATGGTAGAATTTGGGTTGATTGGTTGAGTAATTATGTTCTTGCTGTAGACACCAAATTTTGAATAATTTTATGTGGCATCTATTTCATGATTTTCATTTTAGATTGCTTGCATTCGTTGTTTACTTTTAGTTTTAATTTTTAGTCTTAGCTTTTAAGTTTAAAATTAGCATAGAGTTTTTAGAAAAAAAGGGAAAAACATCAAAAATATGTTATAGTCATTTTATTTTTATTCAATGCTTTCTTGAAAAGAAAAATTCAAAAAAATAGGCTTTAGTTAGATCGGAAAAATGAAAAAAAGAGAAAAAGGAAAAAGGAAAATTTGTTCACAAAAATATGTTTTTTTAAATTCAATCTTTGGGCACTTTAGTTATTTTTATTAAGTTATTTTGGGGAAAATGAAAAAAATGAAACAAAAAGAGATGGAAAAATGGTCATTTTTGTTGTTTTTAGTTGTTCAGTTTTTAAATTATTTTCATTATTATTATTATTATTATTACTTGGTTCTTGGCAATTTGTTATTATTATTATTTATATTTTATCATTTTTGTGTTTTATTAAGTCGAAAGTTGTAAAAAAAAAAAAAAAAAAAAAAAAAAAGAGATATGCGGCAGCAAGCTGCGTTTTTCGCAGCTTGCAAAGAAATGTTCGGCAGCTCCTTGGGCTGCAAATATAGAAGAGCTGGCTTGAAGTTTAGGGTTATTGGGATATAAAAGGAATGATCTAAGGGCAGCCACAGGAGAGGAGGGAGAGAGAGAGAGTTAAACGGCAAAAGGAAAAACACAAAAAACAGCAAAGGAGAAAAAGAAAGGGAGGGATCGAGAGTTGAGGGTTTGGTCTGAGAGAGGGCAGCAGCCAAAAGGGAGGAAGGAACCCACGAAAAGAGACCAGGTGATGGGCTGAGCAAGAAAAAGAGAAAGCGAGAGGGTGAGATAGAGAATTAAAGTGAGAAGAGAGGCATCGGGTGCTGTTCTTCCAGCAATAAAGCAGCAACTGGAGCTGATGCTCCTCGCGAAGCTTTCACCATTTTCACTCTGCCATCGTTACCCGTGAGCTTCACCGTAAGTCAAGAGCAAGAAGAGGCAAAGGGCGGCTGGATTTTGAGGGAACCACGGTGCAAGGCTGCGAAGGAAAACGCAAAAAAGGTCTGTCCAAGCACCACAGTCCGCATCTGCCGCTGCTTGCTGTCCTCATCGTTCTTGAGAGCTGCAACCTGGGCTTCATATTTGGTGGAGCTCATCTTCTTGCGGACAGTCATCTTAGGTTTCAACCTTACAAGGTGGTCAGGTAAATATAACTCACGCCCCTGCTGATTCAACGTGTTTCTCACAAAATTCGTACCTACGATACATGAGCAAATCAGATTTAGGTCGCCAGTCCTGTTGAGTTATTTTCTTCCCTGTCCCATGCTGAATTTCATACAATTCCCTGGTCGAATGCTTCTTGTTTTATTGATGAATTTCTGATGTCGGATGATGTAAATAAAACCATGAGTTACATGATCTTGTTAGATGAACAAAACCAGAAAACTGTAGAAAGCCCTCGGCTTTATGATTCTCATTATGTTCGGATCCTAATGCTCCCTTGGTTGCTGCTTCTTTTTGTGTTTTTGCGATGTTAATGATGGGTTTAGCAGTGAAAGGCTCAGATAACACGGTGTTTGTTTGGTTTGGAAATGGGTTGGGAATTTCTGGCTTCGCCTTTTGCATAATTGAGCAGCCAGATCACGCTACATTGTGGCATTTTGTGTCCAAGAGTTTTTGTTAGATGCCTCCACTTTTCCTTCGCCTCACTTTTGCTCATTGCTGGTCTTGGACAAGTTGGAAACTGCATTTAATCATTTCTTTGATATGTTTGAATTGTATAAGAAACTAAAGGCTGCTGCATTTTCTTCATCGTTTCTTTCTCCAAGCAATCCGCAGGGCCGAACTTCCTATTGTATGCTCAGACACCAAGCTCCAATGGGTTTTTGTTTGGATCAAAGTCGTGATGCTTGGGTGAATTTGTTTTGTTCGAAGTTGTGTTTTGGGGCTAAAATCTGTGCTTGGAAATCGAAAACTAGTGTCTAGTTTGTTTGTAGAAATCCCCTAGCAGCTGCCGAGAACTTTTGCTGCATTTTTTTCCCTCTCTTGCTGATCTTTCCGTGGCTGCTATCTGAGTTTTTACTTCAGCTGCATGCTTAATTGTTTTTTGAAGGGAGAAAATGGAAGGTTGGGTGTTGGGTTTGAGTGTTTAAACATCTAAGATGCGTGAGCTGAAAAAATGGGAAAGCCACGGCTGGAAAAGAGAATTGCAGAAAGTGTTCATTGCAGAATTTTGTTTCCTCGTATGCATGCATGTATTAATTCTTCAAAATTGCCCCTTAACTCCCTTAAGTTCCTCCTTGACCCACTATGACCCAGAAATTGGAAGGATTAATCAATTTAGCCCATGAGATTTTGCAGCAATGCTACAAAGACCCGTTTGCCTTTCAATCGTTTGCATCCAAGTTCTAAAGTGTTTGCAATCTGAGCTATTACTTGCTTTTGTCTTTGCCCTTTGAAGTTCTTGAAAGTGTTTCATTAAGCTTGAGTGCTTTGTTAATATTTGCAATTTGGTCCTTGATGGCTTTAATTTTACAACTTCATTGCTTGTTTGTTTCGATTAATTAATATGCTTTGTTTCAATTGAATTTAAATCATAACTTTAGGGGCTTTATGGCTAAGTGAGCCTTGTTTTGCCCATTTCTTCTAATTTTTCTTAAATAAAGTGGTGCCTTGACCTTTTTATTATTTTGGAGGGTAATTGAATAATTTCACTTCATTGGGGCGTCAATTCAAGGGAGGTACACTCTATCCTTCATTTCCGCTTCATTTGACCCTACGTGCTCCTACGTGTTATGTGAATATGCCTGTCTATTTCGCTTTCCTTATCTCCTTGCGTGCATTTACTTACCTTTACTTTTATTTAAGTTTTTATGGGGTATGTGTACACCTCTTGGCTTGTAATAGATAGGGCCCGGAGAGCCTCTGGTCCATTTCCCCTTCCCCTTTATGCTTTTATGGGGTATGTGTACACCTCTTGGCTTGTAATAGATAGGGCTCGTAGAGCATCTGGTCCACTTCCCCGTCCCCCTTGCTTGCTTGTTTTGTTGCTACATGTTTAATTGCTTTATTAGGCTCTTGCATCTAGTCGAGTATGCTAAATGCTATGTGCTATGTGTTTACGAGTATTTTGGCATGTCTACTTGCTTTCATAGCCATGAATGAATGGAATGAATGAATGTACGTTTCCGCTAGTCCAACGCTAGTCGGAATTCATAGAACGGGCTAGTCCAACGCTAGACCCTTAGGGATTTCCCCTCATTAGCATATCATTTGCTTGTTCACCACATATCATGCATTTTTCTTAGTTTTATCATTTGGTATGATCCTCGAACCCGTTTTCCCTCCATTTTAGGATTTTTGCATTTCATGCTAGTTACAGGGTTCATTTGCTTGAGAGTCCCCTTAAATATGGGATATAGACGAGTGTGGCTTTTTCTAAAGCCTTAGCACGCTTATATCCTCTCTATAAAAGGGCAAATTGAGTCGCGATTTAGGTCTCCCCGTCCCAATATGCATGAATTCCCTAGGCTCATGCATTCTAAGTCCACTCCATCATTACACTTTCACTTTCCCTCTCATTTGCACACGTACACCTTTTTATCCTTTCACTTGCACATGAACACTTTTCCTCCCACTTTTGCACACGTGCACCCTTGAGTTTCTTCACTTGCACACGAACACTTTTATCATTACTTGCACACATGCACTTCATATTATCATTTCACATACCGTACATTGCCCACTCACGTGCACACTTTCATTTACATATTTATTTTCTTTTATTACTTTTTCAAACTCATGTCCTCACATTGCACGCATGCATTTCATTCATTTGCATCCCACTTGCATTATTCGTGACTTCTTCAAAGGATTGATATTGGGCTTCACAATTAATGTGATTGGCACCACTCAACCTTTGAAGGGAAATTTCCCCCAATTCCCCTAGGTCTAGGGTTTGCATTCATGTAGGGCACTCAAATGTAATAAATTCTTTGGTTAAAACAAGAAAATCTTTGATTAAATCAACGCAACTAGCCTTGGCTAGGTCAAAGGGGTGCCTTGGATTCTATCCTTGCCTTCCCCTTTGTCAAACGTGACTCCCGAACCTTTTTCTTTGGTTTACGTAGACTAGGAGTCGTTTTAAAAAGGGTTTATTACTACTTGACTTTAAAACTCATTTTTGGGTGACTTGGTACACCTTAAACCATTACCAAGTGGCGACTCCAAACTTTTCATTTCAAAACCCTTTTTAAAACTATTTTTTTGGCCAAATCGTCGCTTTCCAAAGTCCCATGGCCTTTACTTTTACTTTGCACACGTTCACACACCACACTTCACACTTCATACATTCGACGATCGAAAAGTGGGGCGCGACACTTGCAATTCCATGACATGCTCAAGGGTTTGAGGATGTTTATTGGTGACTGATGTGATGAATTAGTATGTTGTGGTTGCTGATATTGTGCTATGTTACATGTATATAGAATGATTGATGGAATGAAGTCGGAAGAAAGTTAGAAATTTGGAGAAGGTACTGTCTGAAATTTCTGACTTGCTGCCGACTTTCTTGTTTGCTGCTGCCCTGTAATTTCAAAAATTTTCTGGTGCTAATTGAGCTTCCAAATTGGTGTAGATATGTTGTGCTATGTGTATTATGGTTGTCTACCAAAAATCAACCCAAATGGTTGGTTAAATTTTGAGTTACAAGTAAAGAAGCAAAACTGGAACAAGCTCCAGAATTTTCTGACCAGCAACATTTGTGTAGCTATAACGTTTTGCTCGTTGATCAAAATTGAGTTCCGTTTGCGGCATTTGAAAGTAGACTCTTAGAGCTTTAAAATGGTACCAAACTTATTTTCTAGTTCGTCCCGAGTGATTCGTGGCGAGTTTTGAAAGTTGGCTGCCTGTTTATTACTGTTCATCCGAGACTGTCCAGAAAATCCATTTTGTTGCTTGATTTTGAACCGCTTATGTCTGGATTTTGGAAATGATTTCTTCTGCATAATATATCCTTGTGAACCTAGTTTCTAACACCACCAACCGTTTTCAATTTCACTGAGAATCGAGTGAGATACGGCCTAAGTAGCGAAGTGCATTAAATCTGGAAAATAGGCCAACAGTCCAGGAATTTTAGCGAACTTCAACTTTTTATTTCTTGAGCTAGGAACATCGGAATCGAGTTCCGTTTTTTTCATTTGAAACCTGGATTGGAACTTTACAGTCATATCAAATTTCAAAGGCTGGTTTTGATTCTATGATTTTTAGCGAAATTCCAAATTTATTGGAAAAACTTGGACTGTTTTGACCTATCTTCAATGAATAGTAAACTTTCTTGGAGAAATTGACTTGTTTCTGATTTGATTCTTGGAAAGTGACCTTCTACAAAGTTGTTATGCTTCGAATGAATTTTTGACGGTGTAAAATTTTCTATTTTAGACTTTCCGAACTTCCAGACTGATTTTTCCACGAATGACTCGAAAAGTGAAAATTTCCAATTTGGACCTAAATGTTCTTTTAAGGTCCTAGGTTACATTTTTACAACTCTTAGAGCATTTCAAACCTATTTTCATGAGTTCACCTATCACTTGAGACCTCATTTGAAAGTCGGTTCCTTATGAACTGAAATACTTTGGAAACTTGAATTTTGGAGTCAAAATTGACTATTTCTTTTCTTTACACGAATACTGTATGGCCTGGAATTTGAGATACAATGCATTATTGCATACTTTCAGGATCTCAAGAGGACTTCGAGGGAACTCCCGGCGAAGCGTCTTAGAGCTAATTTCTCAAACTTTGACTTTTGATACTTGGTGAGTATCAAGTGCATGTGAAGTGTTTAAATGAAATGATTCTTGTACTTGCTAGTTAATGAGGTTAGGGAGTACTTTATTGCCCTTGTCCTCTCTTTCATGAAATTGCTTGCTTGATAAGTGATACGTGTTACATGTGAATGCAAATGAAAGTGTTTTTCGTGAGCATCGAGCGGCAGAATGTATCATGCCCTTTTAGGGTAGGAGGTACCGCTCATCCCGTCTCAATGCTATGACCAAATCTTGTCGATTGGAGCTTTGTCTCATCGACCTAAAAGTGAATGGGGGGGGACGCCCCAACCCATTGGCCAGCCTTGTAACTCGAGCCGGCAAGGGCTTGGTCGAGAAACTTGGTGAACCTTGGGAAGTGTTATAGCTTGATCCAAATAAGGGGTCTTGCTAGGTATACTTGTTAAGTGATACCACCTACATGCTTGTTTGGTTACGGATCCAAGAGGGTGTCATGGTGGCTGGAGGTAGTAAGTAGAGTTCTACATGGATAACTGTGAAAGTTGACGGAGGGTCAACTACCTGAGCTTGGATCGCGCGTGGATTAGCTCCTGAGAGCTCCCGTATCCTTTTATTGTGATCAAATTCCCTACTTGCTTAATGTTTCGCAGTTACTTGTTACTTGAGTTATTGCTTTATATTGTGTCTTTGCTCACATGCTTGCATGTTTTTCCCTTGGCCTCACTGAGCGTTAGCTCACCCCAATTTGTTTTCCTTAACAGGTTTGGAAGTGGAAGTTCTGAGGCTTAATTAGTGACCCCCAAAAATAATTTTTCCCCACAGGGCTCGAGGCCAAAGAAAGCGCTTGTATTGAGTTCTTAGTGCCTGAAGGGATATCTCATATATAATTTGAATTCGATTCACTTGATAAGTATTTGATGTAATTATTTGAGAACTGAGAACTTTTGTCTTATTCGGGGAATGATACCCTTACTTAAGATTTGTAATGTATCTTATCTCGTTCTAAGTTTGAAAAATATTATTTCGTTTATTCTTGAGGTTGTACCCTATGTTATTGGATGTGAGTGATGTATTTTAATTGAGGACTATAGTGAGTCCCGACGAGAGCTGGGCAAGCGGTCCGCCGAGCCCTTTGGTTCGCCTTAGGGGGAGGTGGGGCTGTCACACTTATCCATATGTATGAAACATGATATATAGAATTGCATTCCATTTAAGAAAATTAGGACTAGGTTAGATCATTTGCTTGATTAGATAGGAAAGGTACCCCCTGAATATGGGATATAGACGAGTATGACTTTCTAACCTTAGCACGCTCATATTCCCTCTATTAAAGGAAAAATTGGAGTCACGAGTGTTAGTTCCCCGCACCCATTATAATGCATTCCCTTAGGTCACGTATACCTATATATTATAATTTTTTTATTTTTTCAAGTCTCATTGTTGCATATTTGTGACATCTTCAAAGGATCACTTTTGGGCGTCGTAATTAATATGATTTGCACCAATCAAGTTTCGAAGAGGCATATTGACCCTACCGATAGCCATTAGATTTATGTTTGCATTCATATAGTAACATTCAAATGTGAAAGTTTTTAGGTTAAAATAAGAAAATTTTTGACTAAATCATGCAACTACCTTTGGTTAGGTTAAAAGGGTACCTTGGATTTTATCCTTGCCTTCCATTTTTTCAACCGTGACTCCCGAACTCTTTTCTCTTCATTTTCGTAGACTTGAAGTCATTTAAAAAAGGATTTTCTCTACTTTTGATCTAAAATTCATTTTAGGTGATTTGGTACACTTTAACTCAATACCAAGTGGCGACTCCTATTTTTTATTAAAAACCCTTTTTAAACTATTATTTTTGGGCCAAAATCGTCGTACTTTCAGTCCCATTTTAGGCCCTTTTTCTTTGTTTATTCTAAACAAATCAAAAATTCATTTAATCAATCAAAAATCATTTTTATAAACCCGTAATTTTATATTTTTTCAAAAACAAATGGTGCGTGACATTGGGGAGGGTGGGAATAGCCACCCTAGAACCTTTACCCGCATTTGATCGTATTTAATCCCTCCCTTCAAAAGGAGCACTTCATACGTGCATACGTTTTACTTTATAACCCCTTATTTCTTTTTACTTTTAGTGGTTGTCATACCACTTCACCCGATTAGGATTAGGATCGATCCACTTGGACATGTGGTCGGGGCACGACGTGGGCGTAACAATGTGCGAGGGATTACTCGAACCACCGACTCATAAGCCTTGGAATTGATGACCCTTCACCTTTGGTCTGAAGGTTTGGGAACTTGAAACCTTATCGAGTCTAGATGCATTAGTAAGTCCAACCTCATGCATCCATATTATAAACCACCTAGGATAGTATGATACCCAGAATTTTAGGACAATGTTTTTCCCCCGATCTTTTAAAATTTCGGATTATTTCTTTTGTTTTGTTTTAAAAACATTGTTTTTAAAATTGGCCACTTTAAATTTAAATCAAAACCCTAGTTTTACTTGTGACTAAAAGGTTATTATGTAATTGAGTTTAGGTATGACAAGACATATTTTATTATAGGTAATTATAATGGTTGGGTGGTTAGTAGATTAATGAGGTGTAATTAACCTTGTGGATTTCATTAAGTTAGTGATCTATGGAGTTAATTGCAAAGATTAAAAGTTGTTGGGGTCATAGTGTGAGGATTAGCAAAGGAAGTGTATTAGTAACCTTGAAGTTCTAAGGTCTTCCCAAGCTTAAATTTGTTGAGCCATGAGTGGGTGAGTCCTGGCGAGAGCTGGGCAGGCGACCCGCCGAACCTTGGGGTACGCCCTAGGGGGAGGTGGAGGCGTCACAGATGGTATCAGAGCTCCTATTGAGCTCGTACCGGGAGAGGGTTCTCGGACTGTGGGGATTGACTTGTTAAGTGTAAAACAATTGGCTATTGTTGGGAACATTAGATAAGTATGTTGGGTAGGAATCTCAAAAGTGGTTGATTTCCTCTTGAACCTGGCCAGCTTGAGTGGTGAATTATCATATTTTCGGATTCTTGTACCCGAGTACCAAAGAGTGATACCTTTACGATAAGTTGATATCTCGAGTAATATTAGGATAAGTTTGGATGGCGAAAGCCAAAGCACGGGAGATGCGAATAGTCTGGACTTGAAATATATTGAAGATATTAGTGGGATTTGGAACCTTATTATTCACGTGTACGTACTTGATTGTACTTCTTCCAGTTTTGATTAAGTGTAGTACCTGAGCAATACCTAGGGTTAATGTCACATAGGGTATGCGACTTGTTATGATATGTATATAAAGAAAATATGTTATTTTCAATGTGTTTTATTAGTTTTTGTTTAATGATTTGAAAATGCGTTTATCAGCCTTTATAACTACATTATTTTGCTTATACTTGTGACGCCCCGAAAGTATGAGTGTGAGAACCCGTATTTTCCCTTAATGTTTTTCCTAGGGTTTTTCCCTTTTAATTGCATGTTTTCTGCATTTTCTGGCGTAGGAAAATTTTCTTGGTGGATTTTATGAGTAAGTATAGTTTTTAGATGATTTTTCTAGCATTGGGTTGTTTTTGAAAAATTACGGATATATAATGAACGTGGGCCCCACGAGTGCGAAAAGTTTGGAAAAATTCGGCCAATAAGGTTAAGTTTCGGATACTGTGTAAAATTTATCGGGTGTTAAAAGATAAGTAGAGGAGGTGAAGTGATTGATGTGAGAGGTGACCAAAGGATAGAAATGCATTTAAAGAGGTGCCAAGTGTCACAATATCATTGGGTGGACTTTATGGAACACTATTCATGTTTTTGACTTTTGACCCATTGGTTAAATATCTTAAAATTTCCACCAAAAATCACCATTTCTTGCTCCTTGGTGGCCGGCCCTCTCTATCAAAGAAGAAAGAAAAACTCTTCCAAGTTTAGCTACCATTTAGTGCCAATCATCCAACCCAAGTGCTTAAACTAGTTTCTACTCCATAAAATTCTTCCATTTGGTGCTAGTGAGTGTTTTGGTGAAGTTTCTTTGAGAAGCTAAGGTGGTCTACAACTTCCTCTCTCTTGTTTACTTGGTAAGTGGTGCTTACACTTCCTCCTACACCTAATGATGTTTAATTTGTGCCTAATGGTGGCTATAGTGTTGAAAATTGTGGTTTATTTCTTGGTTTGGAATGAATTGGTGAAGTTTTCATTTTTTTGAGGAATTTTCTGGTTTAATGTGATCATGGTGTTGTGGTTATTTATGATGGTTGGTAATAAGGGGTTATGCCTCTAGTGGATGTATATGATAGGAAATTGCAACCAATTGTGGGTTTGGATTGAAATGGGAAAAGTTAGGGTTTCATAACCCCCTTTTCTGTCCGGTTTTGGATCATATGGTTAGAGGCCGAATTGGCCTTTACTTAAAACATGAAAGTTGTAGTTATTGATGTGTTTGAGATTCCTGTAAAATTTCAGGTCATTTGGAGTAGTGTAGAGTGAGATATGTCCTTTTTACTGTTGCTGTTCTGGGTGATCAGAATGTGCGAACTGCGATTGTAATCGTCTATTTTGACTGGAATTTCTTTGGATTTGGATGTTGGTGTCTTCTGATGAAATGTATCTTGATGCCTTAGCTATCATATGCCTTTGGAATCAATGCATTTGGACCTGTGTAGACTGAGTTGGACGAATTACAGCATTGTGTGATTTGGGAACCTGCAATTACGGTTCTGGTTTGGTATTCTGCTTTTTTGACCTAGTTGTGCTAGGATTTGGACTGAGTGGCCTTCTACATTGTTGTAGCCCTGGTTCTTAGCTTCGAAACGGTGGGTCTTGGACCTCCATCCGATACTCGTAGTACCTTTGGTGCCATTACCGCAAAAGGACGTCAAAACTGTTTTCTGGTTTTGAGCAATTGTGGTTACTTGCTATGTGATTGGGTTTGATTGTAGGTTGGAAAAGAAAGGAATTAAGGGGAAATGCTGTCCGATTTTTAATAGCATTGGTTACCTTAAGTTTCAAGTGAAAGGCTTGGACTTGAATGATGGAATTGGCTATATTGGACGAGGATTGTGAGCCGTGGAGGTGAGTGACCTCAAACTATTTCTAAAATTATTTATGAACCATTTCTTGCATTATTTACTTTTGAACTGTTTTCAAAGTTACTTTTGGAACTGTTTTCTTGCATATCATGCATGCTTGCATATCAGTGTCTTGTTATTATTGATTTTGCTTTCAATGATTGTTAAAACGAGTTTTCTAGGCGAGTGTGTACTTTATCGCACTCGACCTAAATAAATATGAAATTTTCAATGATTAATGATTAAATGCTACTTGCGCATGAATGTAAGCCTTTTGGGCTGAACTGGCCATTGCCCCTTGTTACCGGTCGTGTCGAGCCAGAAGCGGACTCGGTCGAGCGACTAGGAACTTGGGTGAACGTTTCGGTATACTCGAGTATTACCTTGTAGGTTGGTGGAGCCTGGCCAAAAGCCAGGGACGGGGTGAATGAATGCACGAATGAAACCCAATGAAATGAAATGACAGGAGAACGAACGTATCCTTTTCATGAATGTTACTATTGCTTTCCATTGTAAATGTTTCTTGAATTATTGATACTCCATATTGAAATGACATTATTGAAATGAACGATTGTGAAACTGATTTGATAACTGATTTTACTGGTTACTCGCTGAGCTTCTAGCTCACCCCAAAAATATTTTATTCCCCTCCACAGGGCTCAAGGCGAAGGAGTGGCTTGTAGTGTTTATTCATGGATTATCTCATGTATGGATTGAATTTGGATTCCTTTTGTGTAATCATTCATATCGGGATTGTATTGAACGTTTAGAATT